TAAACCGGAGGCCATTTCTCAGCAACGTCAGTCGTCACCAATCCTGATACGAAAAGACGAGGGGAGGAAGAGCGGTAAGGCCCTCACGAAACCTCTAAAGGGAAGGGTCGTGGCCGAAACGCCTTCCACAATTAAGACGGCTGCAGGGTCCATTTACCGGAAAAGCGATATTGCAAAGGTTAAGGTTGCGGTGCATGATAAGGAGAAAAACAACAATAGACGATCCCCATCGGGAGAAGAGCCTAAGAAAAAACAACAGAGGCAATCGAGGCGACAATCAGACGAACAAGATGAGGCTGAATTGAGTCAGTCGGATGAAGACTTATTGCTAGAGCAGCCAGGTGCAGCGAAGGAAAAATTTCAGGATAGCCCAACGGTGATCACTTCAAAAGACACCCTACAAGGCGGTGGACTGAATTTGGCGGTACGAAGAGCGAAGCCAAACTTGGCTGGACCATTCTCGAAATCAAATAAGGCTAAAGTGAGCCCAATCTCGACGAAAGACGCACAACAAGTCATATTACAGAATAAAAGTGCTGCGTCAGCAGCAGAAGTAATCGAACCGAAGGCGCCAGACCACGCATGTTCGTCGAACACTATCAAGAACAAGAAAGAAATTACACGCACTACATCTCCTGAAACAATCCTCGACACTTTCAATAGTAAGGATTTATCGGCGAATGACTGGAATCGATTAGCGGATCAAGTACTTGAACGAGGAGTTCAGCGCGCGGCGGCAGAGATACTGCATTCGAGAGAGGATGCGAGAGACGACGAGGAATTGATGAATCCTCCGGGGTTTTCTGACGAATCCGAACTTGAGGAAACATCAGTACGGAAAAGCGGGAGATCGAAAAAGGGACCATCCAGATACGGAAACCCGATTAAGCATTCAGTGAAATCAATCTCGTTCCAGAATAACTTATTGGACTTGATCCAAGCCGCGCTCGAAGCATATAGAATCAAGCTTGCAAATTTTAAACCTGGTGCTTCTAATTCGGTGGAGACAAAATTTGGTCTGCTGGAAAAACATCTATTTAGGAGAAAGTTTGGCAGCGAAGCTCTAGACATAACCCGTTCATGGAACGCCGAGTGGAGAATCCCGTTACAGTTGGAAGAGGAACATGAAGAGAGAGATGGAAAATGAGTTATCTAATACACAAAGCCAAAACTTCTTAAACTGAGTTCTAAAACTCCTATTCATTATTATTTAAAATTTTAATAACATAGTATAAAAATTTTCTTGATCGAGGGGGTATGTGGTACCGCAACTGCTACTGCCATTGCAGTAACTATGCAGTCCTCATATATATTGGCCTTGATAGTGCTACTTACATCTGCCACTGCTATCGCAGTAATCAGATAGTCATCACATATTGACCTTGATAGTGCTATACATATTGTTATCTATAAATTATATAATTCTATTATAAAAACCAAGGTCAAAGAATACGTGACCTTTTAGAAATCCAAGAGAGTCAATCTCTCAGGCCTGTGGCTAAGAACACAGTCAGTAACAAACTAACAACAGAAAAGAAACGGTTTCATTATGGTTAATTAAACTCTTTCGAAACCACTTCAGTTTTCACTATAAAACCTCAGAGGTATTGTTAGTTACCACAGACTCATAAGTCATGGTAGATTAAATAAACATAAATTATCATGTTTTGTTTCGATAAATCTTTAAAAAAAAATTTCGTAACTTTGAAGAAAAAAAATGTGAAAAAAAAAACTTAATAAAAATATATTCAAGAGAATGTATCCCGAATTAAGCAAGCTGACACTGATAAGAGTTTTTCTGCAAATTTATTCGAAGAAAAATTATGCGCGATTCTAATTGATTAAAAATGGATTATTGTGCAACGAAAACAAGTTTCATTTTCTTTAAAAAATAATTCATTATAATCGATTATAATCGGTTATATTCGGATTTTTTTTATTAAAAAGTAGTATCATAACAATCTAATTTAATCGATTATAATCGATAAGTTTCGAAAATTATTGAGACAGACCACGACAATTCAATATAATCGATTTTTGTCCATTGAATCGGGTGCGGCGGGTTAGCAAGTCTGAACTTGTCAAGAGATATTAGGGTAATGTTGTTTGGGTAAATTTGTGCTTTGCCTAAATTCTTCTGTTTTTGAAATTGATGGTTTTGTTGACAAATTGTAAAATAATTGTCCTAATTCATAACTGTCAGTCAATTATGCGTCCGTGTTGTGACCATTGACAATGGGGAGGAAGTTGTGTTCGGGTGTGTCTAAGATTCTTTTCTCTTTTCCACGCAAAATTACCACAATCACGTAACAAATAGTCATCGGAATGAGTCGGGTGAGTTTTTCAGCTAGCAGACTAACGTTTTAAAACAGACGAATAACTGACTGACAGATCCTAATTAGGACAGTCGTAATTAAAACCAATTTAGTCGTAATTTGAGCGACACTAAAAAAATTCAAAAAAATTTAACATCGTCCAGAAAAAACGGTGTACAATTTTCGAGTTTTGGTCTAATTTCAAGCAAGTGAAGCAAGCGAGCAGGCTTATTAAAGAAGGCTAATCCATCTCTTTTTTCATTCAAATAACATGCTTTTAAACGCAACTTTTGAATTCAAAAACTTCAAAATTAAACATTTTCCGCAATTTCTTTTTGATTTTTTTGTTGTTTTTTTTTATCGGGACATTTTTCGACAAAACTTGTTACACAATTTGCTTATCTTACTATGATTGTCGACTATGCCTAAAGCTTAGATTTTTGTCAAATTTTTTAATCAAACCATCACTAATTTGAAAAAACATCATGAAAAAATTTTTCAATTCAATTTTTAAAGAATATGGTCGGAACACTCTGGGCTACTTGCACAGCAACCGGTTATCCTTATTAAAGAAAAACTTTGGCGTGACTGATTTAAAACTTTTGACGTGACTAAATTAATTTTTTAGAGAGACTATTTTAGGAGTCTGGCGCGACCAAAATAAAATTCTGGCGCGACCGAGATAAGACCTCGGCGCGACTCAGTTATGACTTTGGAGCGAGGTAGACTAAGACCAGTGGCACCACTACAGATTTTGATCCAAAAAGTAGGTAGAATTTTAACCGAAAAGTTTTCTTGAGTTAGGTACCTCGCCCCTGATATTAGTCTACGTAATCATGTACAAAAAAAGACGCTGGTAAAAGAAATTCAGATTGTGTTTTTTTTGAATTATTGAACAAAATAGGAAAATGTCTTTTTACAACATCTTTGCTTAGCATCTTATGAGCCGTCATTGGTCGTTGCATATTTTCACGAGATGTGAGATTCGTTTCGGATTTCTGGTGTTAAAATTCAAAAAAAACCAAACATCTATGGTATTTTGAAACACTTATTTTTTGTTCTGAAGAGGGATGATATGGAAAGTTTGGGTATCATAGAAACAACTTGCTCGACGGATAGGCCAGATTGAAGCCATTTGACTGAGTTTTTATTCAGGTCGGAAAATTTGAAAATTTAAACGTGTACGTTCCGACTTTCGAAGAAAGTGACGAGAGATTTGTGCTCGAGGTACTTTTTTTGCCAAGCAAATTTTGCCTTTTCAACAAACCATTTTCAAACTTGCAAATTTGTATACCATCTGAAAGCCGGTGATGTCCTGAGCTAAATTTTTATTCTGTGAATCTGTGATATTTTTTGAAAACTGCCAATTTGGCTAACTTGGGACAATTAATGCGCGAGATGTTTTATGCTATTAGAGCGTATGCAGCTATTTAATCCGCTCATAAAGCGTTCCAATTTGAATTGAAGCTTGATTGCTGTTATTGCTCCGACTTTCTTAAAGAAAGTAACGGAATATTTGTGCTCAGGTGGGGTTTTTTTTTTACTTCAGACAAGATTCGACTTTCTAATTAGCCGTTTTTGACGGATATTTTTTGTATCAATCGAAAGCTATTGTTTTCTTGAGGTTAAATTTGATAATATATTTCACCTGTGATCATTTTTCGTAAAGTTAAAAGAGTCTAAAGATTGCCATTTTGGCCATTTTGGACAATTTGGGATAATTTACGCGCGATATATTTCGCGCTATTAACGCGAAAGCGAGATTTAATCCGTCTTAGAAATCGTTCCAAATTGTTTCAAGGAAGCTTATATGTCATAATTGATCTGTTAAAAGAAGCAAACTTTTTTTTTCAATTTTAATTTCTTTTTATTACATTTAACTTTTTCATGTTCTTGGTGCTCCAATGACCTTAAAAAGCAGTCGGAAAATTCATGGCGTCGCCCTAATACGAGCAGTCTTGTTAATAAGTTAATAGACGCTAAGAAAATAGCTCTTTTTTTAGCATAAGGTGCAGGGATTTGAAAAACCTAAAAAAATCGTATTTTTTTTTCACTTTTTAAAAGTTTTTCAAATGATGTTTTCAGAAGCTGTTTCAAAGACGCTGAATTAGAGTCGGAAAATTCAAGGCTCCGTCCTGTTACGGCCGACCGAATGACACTTGTATACATTTTAACTACCATGCAGTAAAAATTTGTTGCTGATCGGCGGTTGAACTAATCACGCTTTCGTCTTATAAGTCAAGACTTTTCTTGATTAAGTACGAGACACAACTTCAAATAAGATTTTTTTCGATGACTAATTGTTTTAAAAGTTAACCTGAAACTCCTTTCCAATTTAATCTGTCAAAACAGTGAATCGGGGCTCAAAATGGTTGGTTGAAAAGCAATGTAGATTTGTCTATTTAAAAATATTTTTTGGATACAACTTATTTTGGATCTATTTAAATACCCCCCCCCACACCCCCCTGAAACGAACTGCCACACCTATAAAGAAATAATTCAATGGTTAAGCATATGTAAATTTTGTCTCTAGTAACGAATCTTCCCCTTTTGCAAAAGGGGTGGGGAATAGCTAAAGAGATCCCTTGTTTTTTTCCCAGGTTGATCCAATTGGGTCAAGAATATTCAATAAATAATTCTTTTTTTTTTCAATTTCTATCATTTTTGTTTTCTGTTGTTTCGTAGATCCACCGATTCGGAGAGCAACTCCCGCAGCAACTCATTTAAGCAGTCCACCTCTTGTGATTCGTCAACAGGAACAACCAATCAGAGACCAGCTCGGTTCCGCAACAGAGACAGCATCAAGGTAACATCGACCCCCTGCCGACCCAAAGGTTCCCCCCTTTGTACTATTTGAGATATCCATTTTTGGGCTGACGGAGCCTAAAGTTTTTCTAAAGGCGCTCGCCGAAAAAACGCATTTTTTTTTGGTCAAAATTCTCCAAAAATGTCTAAAATCGCATTTTTGACCTGTTTTTTCTTGAAATTTTGTTTTTGAAAACAGGTTCTTTTTAGTGATTTGGGAGAGCTCTGAAAATCAATTTAGTTGACCCTAAAAAAATCGACAGAAGTTTGACAATTTTTCGATAATCCCACTTCCCCTCGAAAAAATACAAGAAAATTCTTTAATTTTGTTTTCAAATTTCAACTCACGTTCAAATAACAAAAAAAATTTGAGTCATCTCAAACAATTTGTTGAATTTTTCCAATTTTTTTGGAGAAACTCAAAATTTTTTGTTCACTTCTCATTAAAAATTCACCTCTCATTAAAAACACTGATTGGGTTTCAAGGTCACCCGCAAGAGGTTCACCGCCTCCGCCCACTGTTCGTACGACTCCAACAATGAGTCATCGGCAGGGTCCAACTCCGAGCTCCACTCGCTCTCTCAGTCGGCCGTCGATTCGGCTCTCGCGTCCATTGCGAACGAAGGGGGAGGGGAAGTCCGAAGAGGCAGCATCGGAATCTCAAAACTGAAGGCTATGTCGGAGGACTCCATGAAAATGTTGCCGGAAATATTCTCGGAAGAATTGGGTAAAAAGTAGCTTTTTTTTCAGAACCGAAAGAAATTTTCTGGATTTCAGAAAATTGTAAGAGAAATTTTCTTGATTCTTTTTTTTCAGAATTGAAAGAATTTTTCTTGATTCGCTCCTGAATTAGATCCACGCCTACCGCACTTCATTGAAAAATTACGGTTTCAGATATTTCAGAAGTGATCTTTTTTGCATTTAGCGTTCTTATACAATTGCACTTTATTTAAAAAAACTGAAAAAAAAAAACGAAAAACAAACAAGAAGAAAAGATGATTAAATTTGTTACAAAATTTGGAAATTTTATATATTTTTTGCTAACATCACATCAAAAATAAAACGCATATCCGTGTCTGAAATAACATAACACTAATTGGACTGCACAACTATTTAAAAGAGTCGATGATGATGTGTGATTGTACAAAAGCTCAAAGAGTTTTCATTTTATAGATCTGAAAGACATCAAACCGTTCGATCCCCGAAAGGAGCCACGGAAGAGTATTTTGAAGAAGAAATCTGACTTGGCGTCAAAAATGATTTCCTGCGAAAATATACCACAAGAATCAACTCTAAGCGACCAACCAAGTTCGAAGGACGAAGCATGAACAATGCGCTTGATGGTGATATTAGCAACTATGATCTTATAATTTCCAAAAAAAGCTGGCGTCTAATCGTAACTTTTAATTAATTTTGGATTCGTTCAGCATTTATTTTGTAGCAAAATAAATTCATTTTGGATAAATAAGAGTTATATATGTAGTATATAACAAATGTAAAGTTTTGTTACGTTAAACTTTCTGGCGGCTAAAATCTTCTTTCAATTTCATTTTTTTTTTTGGATATTTTTTCGTTTTGCGCCATTAAACACGAACTCAAAAACTAAAATTAGCAGCAATTTTAAAGGATATCCGGTATGTGGCTGCTTTTTCTCCGATGTTTTACATTCAGTATGTACAGACGGTTAGATGTCCGTTCACCCAAACTACTCGAATTACCATAAATTTTGAAATTTAACCTTTTAGGCTGCAACTGGTCTGTAAAAAATGAGAGTTGATTTCAATCCTCCGTGGTTTCCTGAGAACATATTAAGTTTTGCTACGACCACAATCGGGTCTTTTTGGTTATACGGCCCAAAACCGATCGTTGCCATAGTTTGACGTTTAGATTAAAATGCTCAAACATGATTGGCTGAAATTAGTTTCAGCAAAACAGAAATTGGATAATCAACAAGACTGCTTTTATATCGGGGCAAAACCCTGAATGTTCCGACTGTCCCTTATTTCATATCGAGTATAGTTTTTGGGAAAAGAAAATATTGAAAACCTATAAATTTTGGACAATATCCAAGTGTGAAATGTTGAGTCGTACGAAATCATTACGACCGATTAGCTACCTGTACCCAGCAAAGGCTGTTTTTCTAGATAGAAATATTCTATAGATTAGCTAGCCAACTTTTTTGTATTTTCTGTATAGAAATGATTAATTTCTTTCTCACATTAAAATTAAACTATTTCTGGAAAGAAAGAATCAGAAATCAGTTTACTGCTCGATTGCAAAGAGATAAACAGGTTTCGAGTATACACAATAGCCGTTGCAAAATAATGCAAGTTAACACTTGATACAACAAGTGTTGCTTTGCATTATATTGATAAAATTATCCGGTAGTAGCAGGTCATGGGCCCCATCGGTTAGCCCATCGACCTATGATACTGCGTTCGAGCCCCAGCAGATAATTTTTTTTCTCGCTATAAAATTTCAAAGAAAAACGCTACTTCTGATACAATTTAGCTAAGAGGAAGTCGATATCTTCAATGAGGTTTATTTTTTTTTGATAAAACTATTATTTGGATCGGTGAAAATTGACTAAAAAACAAAAACTACACTGAGCATAGTTATTCCGTTTTCTCTAAAAGTCGGAACAATAAAAACAGAAGCTCATAGAAAAATTTGATAATTTTTAACCGTAAAACAAAAAGACCTCCACAAGCTACATGCGTAACAACTGTTTGAAGCAGAACATACAGTTTTTTTCCATCCATGAACACTAGAACTGCAAATGAAGTTCGAAATTTGCTTAATATAGTGGAAGAGTAGTTTACATTTGGGAAAATAAGCAGTGGACATAATCAAATGCCAAGGTGTCAAAACCAGTAGCGCAACCGCTTTTTCCTTTCTCCCCTCAATTCTGGTTGCCAAACTTTTCCAACTTTTCCAGCCAAACTTGGTTGTAACTTTATGACATCCATTTTTAGCTGAACAGCTTCAAATTTTTCTAAAGGCGCCTTTAGCGCCAACGTGGATAATTTTGACTGAGGAGTGCGCGCAGAAAAAACGTAATTTGATTGCGGTGCAGAAAATTGTTTACGCAAAAGGATCCTTATACTATTTTAGAAGAACTCGGAAGATCAAATTGGTCAACCTAAAAAAAGATCGGCAAAATTTTCAAAGTTTGTTCGAAAAACCGTCCCCCCTGGAAAAATTTCTGCACACTCCACTGTTCAAAACAAGTACAAACATAAAATTTTTTGGCGGTAGAAAAATTACTCCTCCCCCCGAAATGTAATTTTTTTTCAAAATGGCAATTTGTTAAATTGAAAAACCATTTTAGCAAAAAGATCTCACGAAAAAATGTTTTAATGTTTTTTCTTCGAAAAGTTTTTTTAATCGATGATGCCTTAAGCAGTTACTGAACGCTTTTGTTGTTCTTTGCTAATTTCAATGAAATTTTTGTTTGATTTAAACAACTTGGCGGAAGCTGCTATTTCGCTGAAACCCACCCTGAAGGACCTTCTTATCAACAACCAAAATAAGGCAGTAGAGGAAATTTAGAAAACCGTATTCATAAAAAATCAGTCCAAAAGAAAAACAAGTCTTAGAGAAGACAGGAGGCCTTGAAAGAAAAAACGCTACTGAGCGAGCAATAATTAAGCAAGTAGTTTGAGTTTTGTAAACTGCCGATGCGGCAAAACTGAGAAATTGAGTTGTTCCGGGAGGAACATGAGTGTCATACCTTTACTTACGGGAAGTTCTAACACCGAATCCGAATGAATTTGCCAACAACAATTCGCAAGTGGACTTGATTAAAAACAGCTGTTTTGATAAATAAATCGTTTACTGATTTCTGAGCTTTTAGCTCAGACTCTTAGTTCTCTTAATATGCACAAGGTCAAATGACCAACAGAAAGTTACTCATCACAGTGAGACTATATAAATAATTGACATTGGTAAAGTTTACCTATCCGTACCGGACGACGTTCCCTCTGGGAAAATCAATTGAGTTTATAAGTCCTTATGGGAGTGGAGTTTAAAAAATCCCGGTGGGACTGTTTGAATTTTAGATTCATCGACGGACTCTCTCTCTCTCTCTCTCCTCTGAAATTCTATTTTATTGCTCGCTTTTGCATTTTTCTTTGTCATCGTTTTCGTTTTCTAGGTGTTTTTCATGCTCCTTGTTCGATGTATCTTCTTTTGTGATCCCAAGGTCTTCTTTTTCGCGTTTCTTTTTGACCAGTAGACCTCGTTGTATGTGTCCCTCTTTGGACTGTCCACGGGGGAAAATAAAAACTACCATCTCCGTGGGTTTCTCTGTTTGTTTTGCTTTTATCGCCTAGAGAAATTTGACACACGCTTGAAGCTGGAATTACTTGTCAGTAAACCCCATTTCCTGAATCAGGCTTTTGCGACTCGGTTTTGCTTCTGCTTGCGTCATGTCTTTTGGCGATTCGATACTGAATCGTTTTTTTTCTACTGGGCTTGTTGTTTTTCATCGATTTTACTGATCAGAACAGGTGTCCCGAATACCTTAGCTAGGGTGAATTGGCGGTTCCAGATCAATTTTCTGGTTGGTTCTTTGATTGTTGCTGCTGGAGTCGTCTTCTTTTGGTTTAGCTGTTTTGCTCGATGATGACTTTTTTGGGGTTTTTGACGCGTAAGCTATTGCCACACAACATTCCTTGGAGTGTTGTTCGAATGCTGCCCCTAAACCGAATAACGATGCGTCACAAAACATGCGGGGTTCCGAATTTTGGTCAAAATGTTTAATTGTGTTATTTCTGAAACTATTTTTATGATATTGTTGAATGCTACGTTATGTTCCGGTTTCCAATCAAGTATTTTATTTTTTTTCTGTGTTTTTCATGAGTAGGCAGTTTGGCGGTGATTTGTGCCAAACGAGGAATGTACCGGGTGAGGTGGTGTATTGAACCCAAGAAAAAACTTTAGTTGCTTGATTATTTTAGTTCGGCTCAGTTTTCGATAGCCTCCGTTTTCTCAATGAGTGGTTTTGTGTCCTCAGTTTTTATGTTGTATCCTAACCAATCAAATTGCTTACAAGCTAACTTACATTTGTCACGTGAGATTGCTAGGTTTTCTTCGTCCAGTTTCTGTAAGCCTGTCTTTAGTGTACCTTGTCTAAATCGAGTGACCCTTTAGTCGCCATTAGGATGTCGTCCAAGTACGCATATAAGTTTATACAGCTCGTTAGGGTCAAACTAATTGCTTTTTGAAATTTTGCCGGCATATCTGTTAAGTAGTGCCCCGCCCGGCACCCGTGGGTCCCGGTGGCATTGCTCCAGACAGACTGTAATTGCATTGTTCTCTTGTTTGTTAACCGAAGCTATTTGTAAGTGTGCGTAGTGTAAGTCGAGTGTTGAAAATAGTCTTTGATTTTTTTTGTGTTTGACTTTACCAACTGTGCGATTTTATCCAACAGGAGGACTATACTTGGCATTTGATATTTTTGTTGATAAGTTTGTTGAACTTTTTGGAGTCCAATGCCAATTTTACTGTTTGGCACTTGTTTACAGTTATTACTATCAGGCTGATAAACTGCTTATCCGAACATTTTTTCCAGTTTGACAATGTGTTTTGGGTCAACAATCAGTTTGTTTGGTTCTTTATTGACCTTTTTTTGTAGGTGAATTGGGATCCGGGGTCTTTTTTGCTGAATTGAGATTGCGTCCTTTATGCATCGTGTTCGCATTACATAGTTATTGATTTTCCGATCCTAATACACAACTGTTTGAAGTTAAGTTTTACCCGTTGCTGTACTTCGGAGTTTGATTTTTCGGTTGCCCGCATGCTCAGCATTCGATATTGTTTTCGTTTTTCTAGTATAAATTTTAATCCGATTTGAGGTAAAAGATTTCGACCTACTATGTTTGCTTTTTCATCATCCACTAAGATGAATTGTGAAGATTGTATAGTCCATCCACATGGTTCTAGTGCAATCATTAACCTTCCCTTCGTATATACTTGAAAATTGGTGATTTATCTTTTTCTGCAATCTGTGCGCCTTTTTTTTCATTTAGAAATGACATCGGGCTTCCCGAGTCTGCAATTACAAATGTTGCCTCCGTGTTTGTTTTAAATTTAGCGATATGTCCATTTAAACAGCCTTCAGTTAATTCAGCTGAGTATTTTACCTCGCAGGCCTCGCATTTTGCCATTACTGAAATATTGTCCTGTGGGAACGCTTCACAGCCGTTGGTGGACGTAAACTCAGCGAAAGCTACTGATCGTTCTGTGTCATCCTGTTGGTGCTTTCAGTTTCTTCTTGTTGTTCTTCGTTTCTGTCTTCAATTCTGCAGTGTTTTGTATTCTGCGCATGACGTTTTGTCGTCCTCGAAAACCGCCGCGACCTCTCTCTGTGTACTGGTCGTTTGCTGAACAACCTCAGCCTCAGGGGTAATGTAACTCACTGGTTTCATTGTTGTTTTTGGTTCTTGTTCAAATGGATTCATTTTCATGGTTCGGCTGTGTTCAATAATCGTATGCATCTTGCGGACTTCCTGTTGCAGCTAAGAGCTCCTAGAAATAAAAATAA